AAGGTTTAAAAAATAATATCAGGAAGTATTACTTTACTGAGAGGGTAGTGGATGCATGGAATAGCCTTCCAGCTGAAGTGGTAGAGGTTAACACAGTAAAGGAGTTTAAGCATGCGTGGGATAGGCATAAGGCTATCCTAACTATAAGATAAGACTAGGGACTAATGAAAGTATTTAGAAAATTGGGCAGACTAGATGGGCCGAATGGTTCTTATCTGCCGTCACATTCTATGTTTCTATGTTTCTATGTTTCTATGTTTCTATGATTGGGTAGATTAAAATAGTGCTGAGGTGGTTTTGAAATGTACTTGCGAGGTATACTCAATTGGCCAAGAGACGAAAACCCATTTGTAACCAAAATTTGCTGCATAATCTACGGCACCTAATGCATCAGTCCGGACCATAGGGGAATTGTCGGAAACAGGGGGAACAAGTAGTGACCTGCCATTCCAAGAGGACAGGAACAGACGCCACCTTCTTAATATCAGCTCTAGCTGGTTTGTTTAAGAGAGCTGTGGAGTCGTCGACAGGGAGACCATGCAAGAAAGAGGATTCTGGAAATAAAGAGACTTACGTTATGGAATTATTCTCCCCACAAAATTGAGTGAACCGGGTAATGACTGTAGCGCATTCCTGGTGCAAGAGTCTTGTGACGTGCAGATGTTGATGTAAAAGAATTCTATCTGCTTGGCCTGCATAGAAATAGAACGGAGTGTAAACCCCGGGAATGTGATCTCTCCATTTTGTCCGGGCTATGGGTACTCCTAATCTTTGAACAGAGTGAACATGTGATTCAGGCTGTGTGGCGTGCTTTGGTGTGGTTCGATGGTGAGGAAGTTGTCTAAGTAGCGTAAGACATCTGCATATGTTCCGTAGGAGCCATGTTTAAGGTTTCGTCGACGATATCGCATAACTTGGTCTGGTAATGAAATAGTGGCTGTCTTCCCACTTAACTCCATGCAGATGCCAGATTGACTTAAGAATGGGTAGTAATTTACACTTGCTAGTAAAGTCTGATTTACATAACCAGGCAGCCTTCCCGGAATGAATGATTGCTTGTATGGCCTCGTCAATTCTGGCGAACTGGAGGAAAACTTATGACAGGGACAGAGTACTTAAACTAGGAGAAGTGGGTGAGTGAGGTGCAGAAAAATCAAATGATAAGTCTCTTTAAAATGTAAAATTCCCTGAGGCGATTCCTAGGGGTTTGTCCTCCAGGAGGTGTAAAAGTAGTGTTGTGAAAGGCCCTATCAAGAAACCGTTGGTGATTTAATTAAGTAAGAGTTTTGTACTCTGATGGGAACTGTGAGTGCTGACTGTAGGATGGGGTGTTCCAAAATACCTATGTGGAGTGACACAAACCCTGTGTAAAACCAGCTAGTAGACGTGAGAAATTCTACCAGATATAAAGAAGGATGAGTAGACAGGTAGCGTTATGGATTAGGAAAGTTTATTGGGGTGGAAAATTTTAGGGTACCGCCTGTAGGAACATTGTTTTTGGAGTGTGCACTGAAACAAAGTGAGCCCACGTGAAGAAGCCTACCAGCACTATAACTACAACCACTGGCATTGAAATTATTGCAGATTTGTGCTTCACCTAGAAAACAAATTGGCATGCCTACTTTGTCTTGGCAAAATCCCTCTGGGATGTGTTGGACTGATAATCAGCATTGGCTTACTGGTAGAGGGAATAGCTAAGTTTCCAGGATGAAATTTGATCGTATGGGCTGTTGCTGAGCTTATGACGCAGGAAGGTGTTTTGAGACCCGAAAAATACCTTAGAAACCGTTGCGTGTGTAACTGACCCCAGTCGGTGTTAGTACTCTCTGCGAGCCTGAACTGAGATGGGTGCTGGTAACTGACAGAATGTCTCCTTGTATAGAAACATTAGACATGCTAAGGAACTGAGGCAGATGACTTTGCTAGTATAGATCTACCATGACCCAGCTTACTAGAGTAGTGCCTACAGGCAAAATTGTACTAACTAGCTTATGTTGGTGACAGGTGAAACCCTGACTACTTGCCAAGTGGCTTTGAGAGGCTCTACCTATGATTTGGCTCGTGGGGCTTTTGTGCCACTGAGGTGGGTGGCGGAGTGTTGGCCTCTCAGTGACATGTAAAAGATTGTAAAATCGATTGGCCGTGACGGGTGAGGCCTTAATTATGACTTGATGAAAGGCTATAACTATGCGTTGGGCCGATTGGGCTCGAACCTCTGAACGGAAGGCTGATTGTATGCCTTGCGGGACCACTTGACTTATAGGCGAGGAGTAGAGCGTAATATAAACCTATTAACACACGTCAATATTCAGAATGCTGTATAAACAGAATGAACTTAAACTGCTAGGTATGAGGCAGTTTATACAAATAAACGAAAGTTTGTGCGAAAGTGTGACTATGTGTATACTAATGGAAAAACATAAGCATTTTATGCGAAGGGATAATGCATACGAAAGTTTAACCGAAACGCCAGTTAGCAATGCACAAGATGGAATCTAAGCATAATCTTACCCTGATTAGCATACTTATATATTTATAAAACACATTAGCTATGCTTTGAGGAGAAATACTTTAATAAAATTATACCTTAACTGCCATCAGGACATACTGATTTCGTATATTTTAGAGAGTAGAAAACAAGGACTTTTTAAAGAGTGACACAATAAATGCTTTGACATTGAAAGCTGTTTAAATTGAATGAAAAGCTTTACCAGCGCTGTTTCAACCGGAGTTTTAACTTCTACTGCAACGCCAGCAAGTTAAAATAAAAGACAGTTTATAACTCCCATATGAAAGTAACGAACAGAACAATGAAAATACAATTTGCAAAATAAACGAACATTTGCCATACATTAATTGAAATTTACCAATTGATATTGAAAAACCACAAGGTGGCGATATTAGCTAAACAAATTGACTGGTAAACGAAAGCTGAAAATAAGCCTAAGTGCGGGGAATAGCAGTGCTACCGAATGCAGCACTACGCTACCTCTTTAAATGGAGTAGTGTATTTAACCAAGAAGGCACCTGTTGCAATCAGTGACCGCATTTGTGTGATCTTTAACAGGAGGGAAGAAAATGAATATAGTGGACATCTTATGCCTTGTGTAAATTGGACTAATTAGATGCAGCAGTGGGGCATAAATAAAACATAATATGACATACTAATATAGCAATAAGCACTTTATTGTTTAAATTACACAGTGAATGTAACCATAACTGCCATATGACATCCTGATAAGGGTATTGCTGTACGTTTTAACTTGGGCATAAATAACAAGTAAAAGACGATGTACTGAAAGAATAGTTTAAGTAAAACGAAATGAAACACAAAATGCCGTTTAAATTGACAAAAAAAAATGCTTTCCCCATGCTGTATTTAACCAAAATGACCTTGACTTGTTAGGTATGCCAATACAGATAAACAAAAGTCTACGCGAAAGAGAGGATTACACGAGCGGCTGCCAAGTGTGTACTAATAGGAATGACCGCTTTGTATGCGAACGGAGCTGTAGACAGAATTTTAGCCAAAACGCTAGTTAGCGCGAACCACCTTCAGTGACCTGAAGGATTTAACATGAGCTATATAGACGAAAGAAACCGTGTAGCCGAACGTGTGAGTAATTGAGGAGTGCACAAATTATGCTGTATAACTTACGATTAGCCGTTCATGTGTTGGCTACCCTCGTTATACTTACGAACACAAAGCATAGAGAGAGATGCAGGTGGACTGCCAGAGGGCGGGAAAATGACGTCAGGGTCCAGTGAACCAGAAGTAAACAGAAGCACTTCCAAGATCGTCGATGATAGGTAAGCAGGGGCTCACTGGGTTTAAGTAGGGTTCCATGTACCTCCCACAAAGACAGGCCAAGCCATATATATATATATATATATATATATATATATATACCATAACCTATTTGGATTTTGCTTCCCAAGCACTACCAAGCCTCACTAAGCAAACCAGTAACCAACCTCATGCTGAAGAGTTGCATTAACAACGAAACAGCTGTCCATGAGTGGTTCACTGGTTTTGCATCTTATCCTAAATTGTGTTCCAAGCAGTTGTATACTGCAAACACAAATTATAAGGAATCCATGTTTAAAATGGAATGAGGCAAAAATGTGATTCTTTGTTAAACTAATTTGCATATGCCCAACCAGAATCCTTTGCGGTTGTAACATCACTGCTGATTTGGAATTTCTGTGGGAAAAGCAAGTCTTATGGCTTGACTGGTGTGCAGATTTTTGTTTAGCATTGTATTAACTATCCACATACTTCAGGTGGAAGGGGTTTTCAATCACAATTTTTCCCCACCATAACCTATTTGGATTTTGCTTCCCAAGCACTACCAAGCCTCACTAAGCAAACCAGTAACCAACCTCATGCTGAAGAGTTGCATTAACAACGAAACAGCTGTCCATGAGTGGTTCACTGGTTTTGCATCTTATCCTAAATTGTGTTCCAAGCAGTTGTATACTGCAAACACAAATTAAAGGAATCCATGTTTAAAATGGAATGAGGCAAAAATGTGATTCTTTGTTAAACTAATTTGCATATGCCCACCCAGAATCCTTTGCGGTTGTAACATCACTGCTGATTTGGAATTTCTGTGGGAAAAGCAAGTCTTATGGCTTGACTGGTGTGCAGATTTTTGTTTAGCATTGTATTAACTATATATATATATATATATATATATATATAATAAAATAAGTAGTGTAAAGATAGCACTCCAAGGACTTCAGAAATAAGGTAAAAAAAACTTATCTTTATTCAGGCATCAGCCTAGGTGGATCAATGTTTCAGTTCACTAATGGATCCTGACAAAAGTTCCATTAGTGAACTGAAACGTTGATCCACCTAGGCTGATACCTGAATAAAGATACATTTTTTCACCATATTTCTGAAGTCCTTGGAGTGCTATCTTTACACTACTTATTTTATATTTATTGCTGACCAGCACCAGGCCGATTATCTCTTAACAGGAGTGCACACATTGGATTATCTCTCTCTCTCTATATATATATATATCTATATATCTATCTATCTATCGATAGATATATATATATATATATATATATATGTAGAGAGAGAGAGAGAGAGAGAGAGAGAAGACAATTCAGATAGCACTCCCAGGACTTGTAGTGTAGATAAAAAAAAAATCGATCAACGTTTCAGTCTGTTACACACAGACTTTCATCAGGACTAGCAAGTACAGCGTAAATGCTTGTCTACATACCCAAATACATACATCCAATTAACTTACCTACCACCGGAATAAACTTCAGCTCCCTGTCAGCCCGGTCCAAATCTTGCGCGGGTTCCGCCGGCGTCGACATGTGCGTGCTTGACGTCATCACTCAGCGTCATTACCACATCATGAGAGCGCCCGTACAACAGCTTCATTGGGAGTTTGTTGTTATGGACACCAACTCCCATAGCAACATATGTAAATAATAACTACCGTGTTTCTCCGAAAATAAGACCGGGTCTTATATTAATTTTAGTCACAAAAAACACACTAGGGCTTATTTTCAGGGTAGGGCTTATTTATTTACGGTACCGGTATGTACATTGAACCCCCCCTTTAATTAATCCACCCCTTTAATAAATCCACCCCCCTCTAATTAATCCACCCCCTCTAATTAATCCACCCCCTCTAATTAATCCAGCCCCCCTTTAATTAATTCACCCACTCTAATTAATCCAGCCCACCCTTTAATTAATTCACCACCCCTTTAATTAATTCACCCCCCTCTAATTAATCCAGCCCACCCTTTAATTAATTCACCACCCCTTTAATTAATTCACCCCCCTCTAATTAATCCACCCCTTTAATTAATTCACCCCCTCTAATTAATCCAGCCCACCCTTTAATTAATTCACCCCTTTAATTAATTCACCCCCTCTAATTAATCCAGCCCACCCTTTAATTAATTCACCACCCCTTTAATTAATTCACCCCCCTCTAATTAATCCAGCCCACCCTTTAATTAATTCACCCCCTCTAATTAATCCAGCCCACCCTTTAATTCACCCCCTCTAATTAATCCAGCCCACCCTTTAATTAATTCACCCCCCTCTAATTAATCCAGCCCACCCTTTAATTAATTCACCCCCCTTTAATTAATTCACCACCCTTTAATTCACCCCCCCTTTAATTAATTCACCCCCCGCCCCCTTTAATTAATTCAGTCCCAGACATAAAATATCTAGCGGTACTCACATTTCAAAGTTTCCTTGCCGAGTCCGACCACTGGGAGCCTCACCGCCTGGAAATGGATCCTTCCGCTGAAGATCCGTGAAGGCAGACTGACGGCGCTGCGAAATGTCGTCATCACGTTGCGCGATGCCGCGGCCCGCAACGCTCCTCCTACAGTAGAAGAAGGAAGTCTCGCCGAAAAGGTACAATGCCTAGGTCTTATTTTCGGGGTAGGGCTTATATTGCAGCCCACCCCGAAAATCCGACTAGGGCTTATTTTCGGGGTAGGGTTTATTTTCGGGGAAACACGGTAGTAACTAAAGCTGGAACCAAGCAATCCAAGCTCATAAATCACAATAAGATAACGGTTATTGTTCCTTAATATCCACAGAGCATAAAACAATTAAACAAAATAGGGTGAATGTCAAAGCAGAACCAATTGATGCCACTATTAAATAAGAGGATCAATAGAAAAAAAACTAAATTGAGACAAATCTATATACAAAATAAATATGAAACAAACAATTAAACCACAGATCATACTGACAGCCCAACACTGAATATCTTGTACTGAGACTCTATTTCCTTAATATATTTGAAAAGAACAAACATTTAAAGTGGTACTACACCACTAAACATTTAATATGAGGAATGTAAACTAACACTGACTTAGCCATCCAATAGGTCCACATAACACCAGGCTTAATTGTTGATAACCCCTATAAATCAAGAAATTAAAAGGAGAATGTCGAGGACATACTCAAGCTATTCTGTCATGTAATCTCATGTCAAAGGTCACAATAGATACAAGATCCCCATATGAAAGGGAAACCTCTGTACATTCTAGAGCTATTCTGTCCACATGGTAATTTACTAAAGGTAAAATGATGGGTAATTTTTATATATATATATATATATATATATATATATATATATATATATATATATATATATATATATATATATATATATATATATATATATATTTTTTTTTACTCTCCCCTTGTAGCACCATCTTCTGCACTGTTTCCTTGTTTTTTTTTCTCTCTCTCTCCCCCCCTCACTCTGTGATCTTCACACAAGATATTTACAACCATCTGCAAGAATAGTGTCTATTTTCTAACAAACCTGCGTCTTATCTGCACTCATGTCCCTTTAACCCCTGTATCACAACTCAACTTTGAATTCTATGTGTCGTCTTCTATGTGTCGGCTTACAAATGCTGTAGACTTGAGAAAAGGATGTTCTCCTGAAAGCTTGTCATTAAAAAATTATGTTAGTCCAATCAAAAAGGAATTACAAGATACACTTATCAGTTTTTTACATACATACATGCATGTGTATATATATATATATATATATATATATACATACACACATACATGTATGTATGTAAAAAACTGATAAAAAGTGTATCTTGTAATTCCTTTTTGATTGGACTAACATAATTTTTATATATATATATATATATATATATATATATAATTATATTGAAGAAAGATGCACTCTCTGGTCTTTTTAAGAATATTAACAGTCTTTAATACATCAAAGGTTTACATTAATCTTTAATCTTAATTCGAGAGATACCTATATCATCCTTTTGACATCTGGACATTTTTTTTTTTATATCCAACATCCTATCTCCAGGTATGGGATAGGGTGAAGGGGACCGAATAGATAAAAACTTTTCTTTTTGAGCTAATATGCAGGTGGCATAATATATATATATATATATATACATACATATACAAAAGTTCTGTATAATTTGGATTGCTCTATAAAATATAAAACAAGTGTTCCTACTGTTTAGGGAACGATGTCCAAATGTTGATACTTCTAAGCTCCTCTGTTTATTAGAGAGCTATTATGGGGTATACATTGTGACCTTTCAAATTGCTCCTGCCTATGCCTTTAAGTAACAGATAATCTATATTATACACAAAAAAACATATACTTTAGTTGTCCATGGCTGACATATATGTTTTAATTTGGCATTTGTTTATATGTTTAACTACACAAATCTATTTTCACCTTGGTTGCAGACACTTTGGTGTAAGATCGTTTTTTACACATGACACTTTAGGACACTGTATTTCTATCACTTGCTGACACATATATTTAATGAATGTGTGTAGATTAAATACACCCCTTTCACTTATGGAATTTAATAACTACCCACATATATTTCATAATCACAGACCGATATGAGACTATTCCTATAATATTTTCATTGGTCTCCTAGCAACTCCACTCACTGGCATCACTCTCACATGATCCTGTATGTCACGTGACTTCTGGTTTTCACTTCCGGGTTTGGACTGAATGGATGAGGGAATCACATCACAATTGGTGAGAACGGTCTATCTTTTTCTATATATATCTTGATTTTATGGTTATAAGTTGATCCTGAGGAAGACCCGAACGGGTCGAAACGTTGCTCAAACAACCTGTAAACCTTTGATGGATTAAGATATTCTTAAAAAGACCGAAGAGTGCATCTTTCTTCAATATAATTATTTATCAGCATAAGAATGCACCAGGGCACTTTACTATTTAGGAAGGGCGAGTGCCATTATTTCTGCTATATATATATATATATATATATATCTATATCTATATCTATATCTATATCTATATATATATATATATATATATATCTATATCTATATCTATATCTATATCTATATATCTATATATCTATCTATATATAAAGCAATATATGACCGCACTCCAAGGATTATGTAGAGATTTTGAAATAAAATTTAACTTTTATTCAATCCATTTAAAAAGTCAACGTTTCAGCTCCCACATGGAGCTTTCATCAGGACAAAACATAATTTACAAGTGCAGACACAAAGAAATATATAACCCCAATCCCTCAAAATAATTTACCTTAATTGTGTACTCATCTAGCCATGAGACAGCTTGCCCTGCATTAGAGAGTAATGAGTGTGGTGTCCATGTGTGCAAGGCCCAGAAAAGGGGGATGGGGCTACAGGTTACTTGGCAACAATCCAACTGGACTGATTGCGTTCCATCTTGTAGCCTAGTAGCTACAATCATTTTTGAGCTCAGGGTAAAGTAGGAGTGGATACAGAGTCTAGTAGGGTATTTAACCCCTAGATGATTAGTATGTGTGCCCAGGCTATGTGTAATAGCCTATTTACCATGCATGGAACAAGCAATGAAATAATATGCAATGTATGCAGGGGAACATAAATCAAATTATAGCAAGAAGACAATCTATATACTTTGCTGCATAACCAAATATGTTTAGGATTTTGGGGTTAAATTAAACAGTGTATTTAAGTCCTATAGGGAAACAAAAAAAAAATGTACTATAGAAATATAGATAATGTGTACTTCTAGTTCAAGTCTTTGGAATATACTGCTCCAAAGGAGCTGAAATGTTGACTTTTTAAATGGATTGAATAAAAGTAAAATTTTATTTAAAAATCTATACAAAGTCCTTGGAGTGCGGTCATTTCTGATATGTCTACATGATCCTTGCCAGACCAGCACTGGGCACCACAGGATTACACCAGGAGTGCAAGCCCTTGCTATTTGTATAATATGACTACGATGGCAGGAGCCTTGCTATGCACCTGGAACATTGAGAATAAGTATTTTCTCACAGAGCAGAACTTGCTTTAGTATTGACGATATTTTGGTGACATTTTTGAATTTTATACACTCAGACTATCCAAAATACCTGGGAAACCTACAAGCTGATTGATAGCGTTTAAATCCAACGATGGATGACTTCTTTGCTTTAGCAGGAGGCCTTGCTGAACAAACAGAGATTTTTCAGTTACACAGAACAAGATGCTGACAGGATAAGATGGGAAACAACATACACGCAATTACTGGACACCACCACATAAATAAATCTACTTCGAGT